TGTTCATCAGCAATATTGGCCTGAAGTTTTCTTTCTTTGTTGTGTCTCTATCTGGTTTTGGAATTAAGATGATGCTGGCTTCATAAAAAGAATTTGGGAGTTTTCCATCCTTCTGGATTTTTTGGAATAGTCTCTGGAGAATAGGGGTTAGCTCTTCCTTAAATGCTTTGTAGAATTCTCCTGTGAAACCATCTGGTCCTGGGCTTTTGTGTGATGGGAGTTTTTTGATTACTGCTTCAATTTCTTTTGCTGTTATTGGTGTATTTAGATTTTCTGCTTCTTTTTCACTGAGTTTTGGAAGATTGTATTTTTCTAGAAATGTGTCCATTTCCCCTAGGTTTTCAAATTTCTTGGCATACAGTTCCTCATAGTAATTTCTTACAATCCCTTCTATTTCTGTGGTATCAGTTGTAATCTCTCCTCTTTCATTTCTGATTGTGTTTATTTGTGTCCTCTCTCTTCTTTTCTTGATGAGCCTACTTAAAGGCGTGTCTATTTTGTTTATCTTCTCAAAGAACCAACTCCTGGATTCATTGATCCTTAAAATTGTGCTTTTAGTTTCTATGTCATTTAATTCTGCTCTAATCTTGGTTATTTCCTTCCTTCTGCTTGCTCTGGGCTGTCTTTGTTGTTGTTCCTCGAGTTCTTGCAAGCGTAGGGTTAGGTTGTTTGTTTGAAATGTTTCTATATTCTTTAGGTAGGCCTGTATTGCTATAAACTTCCCTCTCAGGACTGCCTTCGCTGTGTCCCATAAGTTTTGGGTTATTTTGAGATCATTTTCATTTGTTTCCAGAAATGTTTTGATTTCTTCCCTAATTTCATTCTTGACCCATTCATTGTTTAATAGCATACCATTCAGTCTCCATGTTTTTGGGTGCTTTGGGTTTTTGTCTTTGGGGTCGGTTTCTAATTTCAGTCCCTTGTAGTCAGAGAAGATGCTTGGTATAATTTCAATTTTCTTGAATTTTTTGAGGCTCGTTTTGTGTCCTATCATGTGGTCTATCTTTGAAAATGTTCCATGTGCATTTGAAAAGAATGTGTATTTAGCTTCTTTGGGATGAAGGGCTCTATATATATCAGTTAAGTCCATTTCATCTAGGGTGTTGTTTAATGCCACAATATCTTTGTTGATCATTTGTTTGGAGGATCTGTCCATTTTTGATAGTGGGGTGTTAAAATCCCCTACTATAATTGTGTTGCTGTCAATATCTTTCTTGAAGTCCTCTAAGATTTTCCTTATATATTTGGGTGCCCCTATGTTTGGTGCATATATGTTTAAAATGTTAATGTCTTCTTGGTGGATTCTTCCCTTGAGTATAATGAAATGACCTTCTGGGTCTCTCTTTATGGCCTTTTTTTTGAAGTCTATTTTGTCTGATATGAGAATTGCTACCCCAGCTTTTTTTTCTTGTCCATTTGCTTGGAAAACTTGTTTCCAGCCTTTCACTTTTACTCCGTGATGGTCTTTTGTCCTGAGGTGGGTCTCTTGTAGGCAGCATATGTGTGGGTCATGCTTTCTTATCCATTGAGCTATTCTGTGTCTTTTGATTGGAGCATTTAATCCATTTACGTTTAAGGTTATTATTGATAGGTACTTATTCATTACCATTTTTGTACCTGTGTTCCTCTCTGTCTCCCTCTTATCCTTCCTTCCCTTAGAGCAGTCCTTTTAGTATTTCTTGTAGAGCTGGTTTGGTGGAGGCATATTCTTTTAGACTTCTTTTGTCTTGGAAGCTCTTTATTTGGCCATCTATCTTGATTGAGAGCCTTGCTGGGTAAAGTAGCCTTGGTTGTAGGCCTCTGGTTCTCATTACTTGGAAGATTTCTTGCCATTCTCTTCTTGCTTGAAGTGTTTCCATTGAGAAGTCAGTAGCTAACCTTATTGGGGCTCCCTTGTATGTTATTTCTTTTTTCTCCCTTTCTGCCTTTAAGATTCTCTGTTTGTCTTGGAATTTTGCCATTTTGATGATGATGTGTCTTGAAGTGGGCCTCCTTGGGTTCCTCTTGGTTGGGACTCTCTGTGATTCCTGGATTTGTGAGACTTTTTCTCTTATCAAATTAGGGAAATTTTGTCTCATTATTCATTCAAAGATATTTTCTGTCCCTTGTTCTTCTTCTCCTTCTGGTATTCCTATTATTCGGATATTATTACATTTCATATTGTCTTGCATTTCTCTTAATCCCTCTTCATTCTTTCTGAGCCTCTTTTCATTTTCTTGCTCTTTCTGTGAGATGCTTTCTACCTTGTACTCCAACTCACTAATCCTATCCTCTGCTTCATCTATCCTACTTCTGAAACTTTCTACTGTGTACTTCAATTCGGAAATTGTATTCTTCATTTCCTCTTGTCTCTTGCTGATAGTTTCCATTTCCTTTTTGATGTTGCTGTAGTTTGCAGAGAGATCATTATAGTTCCCCTGTAGTTTCTGGTAGTTCACTGTGAGCTCTTTGAACTTCGTAATAACCAGTGCTTTGAATTCACTGTCTGATAGTTGATCAGCCTTTATTTCATCTAACATTCTTTCTGAAGTTTCTGTTTTTTCTTTCATTTGGGGATTGTTTCTTTGTCTTCCCATTGTTTGAGACTCTTCTTGTTAGTCTCTGCTTCTAAAATTGATCTGTTCTGAAACCCTGGTTTTATGGTGTACACTTCTGTGGTATGATCCTTGTGAAGTTCAGTGGTGCAGACTCCTTGAAGTTTCTTGATGTTCTTCGTCTCCACCTACACTCACGCTGGTCCTCACGCTGGTCCCTGCGTTGGTCGCCTACCACTGCTGAATGTCCCGGCTCTAGTAGCCGCCTCCTCAAGCACCCAGGCCCGTTACTACGGCAGTGGCACGGAGGCTGGGAATGTCTCGGCTCCCGAATCTGGCTCTCTCTGCCACCCAGGGCTGTCACAGGGGTTTGGAGTGTCCTGGTTTCTGTACCTGACTTCCCAGAGTCTAGTTCTGTCTCTATGGCAGTGGTACGGAGGCTTAGAATGTCCCAACTCCCATACCTGATTCCCCAGTGTCCAGTCCCGTCGCTATGGCAGCAGCACAGGGGTTGAGAACATCCCAGTTCCCGTAGAGGGCTCCTCTGCTCCCCAGGGCTGTCTCAGGTGTTTGGAGTGTCCTGGCTTCCATACCTGACTCCCCGGCATCCAGTTCCATCGCTATGGCAGGTGCACAGGATCTGTGAACGTCCTGGCTCCCGTAGCTGGCTCCTCAGGGCCCAGGCCTGTCTCTATGGCGGCGTCACAGGGGCCTTTGGTGTCCCAGCCCCTGCAACTGACCCTTCCTTTGCCCAGGCCGGTAGCTATGGCATCGGCACAAGGGCCGAGATTGTCCCCGCTCCGGTTCCTGACTCCTCTGTCTCCCAGGACCATCACAGGGGCTTGGAGTGTCCAGCTTCCGTACCTGACTCCCTGGCTCCCAGGCCTGTTGCTCTGGCGGCAGCACAGGGGCTGCGTGAGACCCAGCTCTACTAGCTGACTCTGCCGCCGTCTGGTGTTTCAGCGTCGGTCACAATCTCTTGTCTTTTAATTTCATAAATGCTGGGTAACCGATGGTTTATTGTCCTGTTTCTCTATAGATCTGCCAGGATTTTCACCCATGAGTACAGGAGCTAGCATCAGCTCCATCTTACTCCGTCGCCATCTTCCCTGCATCCTCCTTGTTGATTTTTGTCTGGAAGATCTATCCACTGATGTCAATGGGGTGTTAAGTTTACCTATAATCACCGTATTACTGTTGATGTTTCCTTTTATGTTTGTCAGTGTTTGCTTTATATATAGGTGCTCCTACATTGGGTATATAAATGTTTACAAGGCTTATATCCTCTTGTTGGGTTGATTCCTTCAACATTATGAAATGCTTTTCTTTGCCTTTTATTCTACCCTTTTAAAAGCCTATTTTGTCAAATATAGATTTTGATATACCAGCTTTGTTTTTGGTTTGTATTTGCATAAACTATCATTTTTCTTTCCTTTAATTCCAGTTTCTGTGTGTCTTTTAATTTAAAGTGTTTCTCTTATAGATAGCATATGTATGAGTCTTATTTTCTTATCCATTCAGTCACCCTGTGTCTTTTGTTGGAGCATTTAAACCATTTACATTTAAGGTGATTATTGATAGGTATAGAGTTATTGCCATTGTATATAAATATATGTGATTATGATATATATTTGTGATAATATCATAAACCTGCATATATTATTATATATAATATATGACATATATGTATGATTTATTCAATTATTTTATCCTCAATAGTTCTTATAAAACTGGTTTGTGGTGATGAACTTTTTAAGGTTTTTCTTATCTGGGGAATTTTTGAAATTTCTCCTTTGATTCCAATTAACAGTCTTGCTGGGTAGAGTAGTTTTGGTAGAGCTGAGGATTTTCAAGTATTTTTATAAAACTGCTTCCTGGAGGGAGAGAGAAACTTTCTAAAGACAAGAAATGACTTCAGTTATTGTATAAAACTGGTTAATGGTCAATAGGGTTGAATGTTTTGAAAGAAGTTCTCAATTTTTAGGGTTTAGAGCACAAATAATAATGGGAGGCCACAAGAAGCTTCTCATCCAATTCGGCCTTGGGAGTAGGAGTGATGGGATAGGTCTCTGGATATTAGAGAGCTGTGTGTTCTCAGGGGGAATTAGAAAGGGTCATTGTCTACTTGGACAGAGGAACTAGATGTTCATCTGTTAATCCATAGTGCCAGTGATCTCCCACAACCTTTCTTTCTGTCAAGTTTGTTCTCCCAGGGGCAGCTTAGACCTGAGTAAGGAGACAGTGGCTACCAGAGCATTTCTCAACAAAACCATCTTTATTCATAATTTATACAAATCCCCCAAAGGGACTGTTCCTACCCCACCAGACCCAACCCTACCCTAATGATCCTGTCCTCCCTCCCTAATTCCCATGTTAGTAGAATAGTCAAGATTAACTTTGAGATGGGGAGGAGCCCATGGCTCCTCTGACAAACAGATGGAAGTGGGAGGGACACCCCACTGCTCCCTACTCAGTGTAATGCCGCTTACTACTCCTCTCTGTGACAGACTGGCCATGCTTTCTCTTTTGAGGCTGTGAGGAGCAAACCATCTCCAGAGCCAATACTGGCTTCCCAGAGACACTGAGGTTGGATCCTGGAATAGGGATCTTTTTAGCATGGGCTGGGTCCTCACCTAGAGCATTTCCAGACTTGGAAGCTGCAGGGGGAACTCGGCTGAGGCCTAGTGTCTGAAAGAACTGGGACTGGGCAGGTCCCCGGGGTCCCCAACCTCCAGGGCAGGCAAGGCCTGAGGAAGGAACAGGACTCAGAGAGAGACCAGAGGGTAGTAGGCTTTCAGGAGAGGTCCAGAGGAAGGCCAGGCTGGGGAGGTCCTCCTCATTTTCTCTGGACCTGTCCATTGGCCTATGTGTATCCCTAACAGGAGAGGCCTCCCTGGGAATGAATGCATCCCTGGGTCCCAGGCCAGAGTAAGTATGCCCATGACCCTGGGGAGGAGAGGGGTGAGCCTGGAGTGCTGGGTACTCCTGATGTCCTGAAGAAACAGCAAAGGCTTTGGGCCTGGACAGATGGGCTTCTGTTTGACCGTGCCTTTGATGATCCTTGAAGTTCGTCTCTGGTGGGCAGGCTTTGTCACTGACCCCCAGCTGGGGGCGGTCACATCTCTGGGCATCTTGGCCAACCACAGACTCAGAGGGACCTGAGTCCAACAGTGGTGCATGGTGACTTGGGGGTAGCTGCACACCCTCCTCTCCCTTCAAGGCCAGGAGTCGCTTCTCTACCAGCTGTGAGGAAGAGGGGGACAGTGAATGGCTCTGCACAAGTAAATAAGAGGAGGGAGAGCGTGGGTAATGGGACAGTGGCATTGGGGGGGAGGAAGAAAGGGGGTGACACATTGACTTGAATCCAAAACAGACATGTGGGTCTCCTGCCATCCTCCTCTGCCATGTTCTCAGTTTTGTATCCCTCCCTCCTCTTCTGGGATCCCCACCCTCTCTTTCCTATCACACTCTTCTTTCTATTGTCCTCTCCTTGTCATCCTGCCCTACACCCAGCCCAGAGCTTACCCCTTGGCATGCCTTGCTTACAGACAGGGATGGGCTAGACTGAGTCATGTGCACTCCTGTTCTGGGTTGTTCCCTGTCTGGTTTACCTGGATGCTCCTCCCATAGCTCACCTGGCGTCCCCCCATCATTGATCTCCCTGGAATCCCCCCTTGCCTGACTCAGACTTGGTCCCTCCTCTAACTTACTTGGAGTCCCTCCCTTCCATGGCTCACCTGGTGTCTCCCCACCCACAATCTACCTGGAGTATCTCCTTCCCTGACTCACCCAGGGTCCCTCCCTCCACTGTCCTACCTCGGGTCTCTCCCTCCTTTACTTCATCCAGGGTCCTTTTTTCCCATGTCTCACCTGGAGGCCCCCTCTATCTTCTTAAGTTCCCTTTGTCCCCTGGCTCACCTGGGCAGGAGTGAGTCCTTCTTCCTGTTCCAACTCTTCAGTTAGGCCCAAGAGATCCAGCTGTACTTTTGGGAAAATCAATTGTTCCATGAACTGGGGGTGAATGACTCCCTCCACCTAGGAGAAAAGGAAGAGCCTGTGAGCACCCTTAGTAGGGAGTAAACTATGAGTCAGCAGGACCTGGAAGAAAAGTAGAAAAGCAAAGACCCACCACATCCTTGTGCACAAAGTGGGTGTTTTACACTGTCGTGCTCATCAACTACACATACATGAGCACATAAGCATAGAAACACAAGGGCACACCCACATATGGAAACAGCATGTACACAAATGTGTATACTGCACACATAGATGCACACATGCACACATAGATACACACTCACACCCAAGCATGCACTCAGTTCAGGAACAAATAATAGAGCTTAATCCCATTGGTCTGGGCAGAACTCAGGTCTAGGTACTAGAGTGCCACCCTCTGGAATCTTGTAGACTCCAGAACTCCAATCAGCCTACCTTGGTGACGAAGTCTTCCTGGGAGCAAAGCTCCTCAATGTAGCTCAGGAGACCAAGGTCTGGGTAGTTCTCATCCTCTTTCTGCTGCAACTCCTTTCCATCCTCTTTGCATTCTTCACCTGGCTGTCCTGTGGCAGAGTGGGCAGACCCTAGCAGCTCGTCCATGATGTCCATGTACTCTTTCACTGCCTCAGGAGGAATCTCATTTGGTGTCTCAGTCTCCAGGGTCCTCTGGTGTCTGTGGGCTTGCTGGGCCCTGGGTATGGTTTTCCTGAGAACAGGTGCTAGGGCAGAGATGGAAGAGGGGAAAACGTGAGGAGCTAAAGCTTCTAGCTCCTGAACATGTGATGGTGAAAGCAGTGTTTGGGAGGAATTAACATGAGTGTGGCTGGGTCAGGACCACCTAAAACCATGTGACCACATGAGGGGAGAGGAGAGGGGAGAATCCAAGAGTCATGTGTAAGGACATGTGGAGTCACTGACTTTCCAAGCTCCCCCTGCCCCACCGCCCCATTCCAGCCTGCTTCTGAGCAGACTTTATGTTGGGTTCTTTGACAGGGAGGTGGGAGAGGTGTTATGAAAGTTGACCAGGTCCAGATGCCATGGTGACAAAAAATAACTGAGGCCCTGGATGTCATAGCTATTCATTTAGAAGACCAAATTCCTCTTGAGGGAAAAGGACCATGTGGGAACAGTTGGCCTGCCCTAGGGCTCTGTTGCCTTTGGCCAGGGGCTCCTTTGAAAATGTGCTGCCATACCTGCCTGTGGGTCCACCACTGGGGCTGGGGGCCCCTGGGGATCAGGTCTTGGTGGAACTGGAGGAGGTGGGCCCTGTGCCCCCTTCATCAACTGCAACTTCTGAATCTGCATCTCATCCTCTGCTTCAAATTCCATGAACCTGGGGGTGTGGGTCAGGAAAACACAGGCAGCACTGAGAAGGAAGCCACCCAGAGCCCAGCAAAGGCAGCAACTGATGGAGGGATGGAGAGCAAGTGTTTTGTGGCTGTCAGGGGTCTGGGCCACTGAGGAGGCAGGAGGATGGCTGGTAGAGCACATTCTCTGCACAGCCCCTCTGGCTGGAGTCTGACCCCACTGGTTGGGCATATTCACCCCAGCCTGTCCTGAGCCTTCACGTGGAGCCAAGGATGGGTGAAGATTAAAGGAGGGTGGAGCTCTGGGGGGTAGATAGGACAGAAGAACCCATGCTCTGAAGGTGAGGAAGAGGCTTCCAGAGGGAAGGGCCTCTGGGCTGCAGGAACCCTGTGCCAACTGACAACATTCTGTCTGATGAGCACCACCACAGCTGGATCCTGCCCTGTAGTTAGCGCTGCCTTCCATAACTCAGTCAGCCCATTCCCCACAGTGGTTGGGACCCAGAACCCGTACTCACTTTTCTGCCATCTCATAATAGATCATCCGGTCATAGTTGCTTTTGTGCTGCCATTCCTGCATGGCCCGCCACATTCCCTCCTCCAATGTCATGGTGGGCCTCAGGCGGGACAGAGACCGGAGCACTGGGCTGTAATACCTCAGGGTCAGTCACAGTCTACCCACCTAACTCACCCAGCTTTGTGCAGCACACGTTCCCACCTCCCACCCAACATGAGTGCCAGCCAGTGAGACAGGAAGCATCTGTGTGTGCAAGGACAAGTCTTCCCAGCTCCTGTTGTTACTGCTGCACATTTGCAACAGGCCATGAACCTAAACTTACTTGAAGCTGACCATCCACTCTCAACCTACAGCTGAGACTCCACCCTCAGACCTTCCTTCCTGTACCCCAGGATAAGCCAGCCTGTATGTCCATCCCACATTCCTCTGTTATGTGAAAGCCCCAGGTGAGTCCCCTGTGTGCCTCCCCAGAGCACTCACATGAGAAAGCAGGAAAGAGCTTCTGTATCAGGACTCTGGGGAAGGTGCCTCCGGGCCAGGGCCTTGAAGCTCTGCCAGCGTCGGAAGTTTTTGTACACACTGTTGGGGTTACAGGAGTCATCTGGCGAGGCATTGGACTGGGTGGTGGCCAGGCTATTCTCACCGGAAACCCCATGTGGCTGTGGCCCAAGGTTCACTGGGGGTATGATGGGGGCCAGTTGGGCAGCTGGTTGTGGAGCTTGGGGAGAAAGGTCAGGAAACCAGCCCCTCTCATGGGCTTGGGTGCCCCCCATAGCTGAGGCAGGCACAATAGTCTCTACTGAAGAGGCTTGCAAGAATAAGGGTGCAGGACACACAGCACCCCCACAGGGGGCCCCTGGGGCACTGCCATTGAGGGGGGCCTGTGTCAGGACAATGGTCTGAGTCTGGGAGGGCTGTGGTTGTCCTGCTTCTGACCTGACCTGTACAACAATGTTGCAAGCCCCAGTCCCAATAGAACCATGAGCAGCATCCTCTGCCACGAGAGGTGTCCTGGGCAAAGCCAGCAGCACCAGGGGTTGGCCAGGAGGGAATGATGGGGTCATGAGGGGTGGCACATGCTGTTCCCAAAGTGGCTGATGTGCAGGGCCAGTAGTGGATGGGGGAAGGGGCAATGTGATGAAAGGAGTCGTGGAGGCACCAGGGTTCAAGGTCACATCCGCTCCTAACACTGCAGATGCTGTTGAGACAAAGAAAAGTGGTGAATGTAGTAGGAGAATGAGCAAACATGAGTGATCTGGTCTAGGTCCCCTTTAGCCACTGGGGAATCAGCGATGTGAGGACCATTTGAATGGGGCTAACTGTAGAGTTTGCAAACACACTCAAGTCACTGTCATGCTCTGAACTCCAGTTGAGAATTATTCCACTGGAGAGCTTGCTCCTCATTGCCCAATGATCCCTGACCACTGTCTGCAGAGAAAAAACAGCCGTCAGTAGCACTGACTCAGAGAGCTATGGATTCCCTGGCACCCAATCCTGCCAGCCTGAGAGACTGTCCCCCAAGACATGGCAGTGGGCAGGAATCTGCTCTGAGGGAAACACACTAGGCAGACACAGTAGTGGTAGAGGCCTTCTCCAAGGTAAGTTCAGGCACCCTAAGGGTTTTATGAAGAGGTCCTATCTCCCCCTCAGTCTTCCTTTTCCTCAATATAAATCACTCTCTTTCTTTCCTGGACTTGCACATCAATATAAAAGCACTTGAGCAATATCTCTCCACAGGAAGACACCAGGAAACCTATATAACCCTTTCACACACCAGTTCAGCATGCACATGCATGTGAGAACCAACAACAGCAAACAGTTAACATGGGCCAGATTCTGCCACTGCTGCCCCTGCACTCAGACTAATGACCAGCCTCAAGAGCTCTGTTCCCAGGAGAGGGGTCTGTGAAGTAGGCATTGTGTCCCTTAGATTCTGTCATTTCACAGCTAGCAATGACTGCAGAGAGTTAGAAAAGGGCTGAGGAATGTGGAGCAATGGGGATGTCAGTGGAAGTTTCCAGAAACTTCCATAGCTGCTGTCATATTAGATAGTCATGGAACTGCAGACTGTGGTCCCTCCCCTTCCAACTCCAAAATATAGAAAATGAAAACACAGTAAGAACCAGGTGTGAGCCAGGTGTCAGTGCAACAATGTTGTCTAGAACACATCCCTGTTCAGAGGAATTTATTCAGACCCTGGGAGAACAAGCTACATACCACGTTCTGCAAATTACTCAGGACAGGTGTCCTTGGACATTTACCAATGATACAGAAGATTGTCCTCCTCCTTCTGTGCCACTCCCCTCGCCTCCTTTAAAAATGAATCTACTTCACAGGCATTCCCCAGGAAAAACCAATCATGGTCCATGTATGTCTTCTGTTTCTGACTCAGTGACGTGGACTATAGCAAACCCCTCATCTCAAAAGCACAAAACAAAGCAGAGGGTGTGCTGTGAAATACATGATGAGAAGAAGCAGGTCTGAAGAACTGAGTTGCCACAGAGAGGTAGCTATTCAGGACAAGTCATGGAACTGAGCCCCATTTTGATGGAAGTTACCCAGCTGCCCTGTCTGCATGGAATCCAAGACAACAAGCAGCTCCATGGGCTGAGGAGAAGTGAACTCTGGGTGAAGGAGAGGAGAAGCTCTGGGCTGGGGAAGTTGGGATACCTTGTAGACTTGGCCACAGACAGTCCCCTGGACAATATTCTGGCTAAGACCACATCATCTCACTGTCCACATTAGCTCTAGTATATTCAGTTCTAATCCCTTAGGAAGATATTGTCGAGCAAGCTGCAGGTACCTGAAGAACAGGACACAGGACTAGGCTTTCCCATGACCCTCCCTGTGCCACCACCATGATACAGTCCATTACAGTGTACACACACGTGTCAAAGTAGTTTGTCTCCCCTCTAGAAAGAATCTGTGTGCCTGCTGCTGTTCTCTCTCCACACCCAGGCATTTTCCCTGAGTCATCCTGATCCACCTCTCAGGAGCCTCCTGTCCAGTGCTGTCACAGGTTTCCAAAGGCTCCCAGCTTCCCCTGCTGACAGGGCCTTGGAAGCCCAGTGCTCTCTCCTTCCTCTACTTGAGTCCAAACAATGTTTCCCCAGAGAAAGGGTCACATATTAACACCAAGTTTTGAGGGACAGCTCAGTCTCTAAAACACATCCCCCTCTAGTCTACAGGCTTACCTCCTGCTGAAGCCATCACTGTAGGCTCAGGTACTGAGCGCCACTGCCTAGTAGCCTCCACAATGAGAAAATTCAAGTCAAGGACCAGAAAGTGACCTGCTCCAACAGATGCTCAGCATCCAGTGAAGGAGGGAAGAGTTTGAATTTAAACAGCAGAATGTAGGGCTCCAGACATTCTGCAGTGGGGGAGGGGCAGAGGGCAGGTGGGCATTGGTGGGTGAGTGGCATTCCATGGAGGGCTCTGGCAGGTCAGCAAGAACCAGAAGTTCCTTTCAGATTTTACTTGGCCACATAATTGGTGTGTGCCTCTTTAGGCAATTTATGCATCATTTTTTAAATTGACAGTACAAAGATTTTATTTGATGCGCCTTTTATTTCAGTTCTTGATCTATCAACCTAGTTTTGGGTCCCCCAACCTGCTTCCACATGTTATGTTAATGGGGCTTAACATTTTAAGGTACTGGATTTACTAGGTGTTAAAATTCTACTACACATGAGATGGATGTGAACTTTGAGACAAAACCAAAATTCTCTCCCCCATGTCTAACCCCCATTCACAAAAACCATTATCTACTTAAGTCCTAGCTTGCCAGACTGAGCTTGGAAAACCTGCTCATTGCCTTCCAAATTTCCTGTCTGCATCATATACACTTGCTCTTTGGAATCTACACTCATCATTGCATGTGGTTTAATCTGCATGCAAATCATGATAGCACTTCTTAAAAACTTGTTTGATTCTTATTTTCATATTGTGCATAAAGGTCAGTTTATTACTGGCAAAATTATATAGACAAGGATTTGTGTTTTGTGAGAGGAGAGAATTGTCAGAAAATTGATCAAGAGAGATGAGGGGTGGAACTTTGGAGGACTGCAGCCAAATTTCTTGGGAGTCAATCTTCATTTTGTGCTGCAGCAGCAGAATTCTTCTTGATGATAGGGTGTTAGGGAAGAGAAGAGAGGTTTAGAAGGACTGTCCCACACTGTGAACATTCATTAAAAACAACTCCCATTGGTTCTTAAGAAGTTTCTTGTAACCTGACAGAAAAAAATGACCCCCACAAAAGATAAGGTGAGAATAATTCAAACAAAACCAAGGTAGACTTTATTTCCAAAACTACAATGGGGATTGAAAAAATAAACAACTCTAAGATATTTCTCAGCACTTGAGCTTTTATCATGCATGCAAACTTAAGTAATTTTCAACCAAAATTTTCATATTAGAGGTATGGTGAGGCAAAATATTGTACTCAGTCACTCATTCAAGAAAGGAAGGCTTCCTTGTTGCTTTCTCCCTTCAGTGAACCAATTATTTACAAGATTCTTACTTCTGGCTCTGAAAGGACTTGAATGAGTCATCTTGAGGCCAGTGATACAAAAATTTCACTGGGGAAAATGATCTGATTTCAATACTGCAATCATTTTTGTACTACGTCAAAATCCTAGACCCTAGGAGCAGATATAAGCAAATTAACTCAAATATAATCTGGTGGTACTGGCAATGGACAGGGTTAGCGAAAAGTGCTTTGACCCCTGATCTCTGAGTATTCCTGCAGAAAAGTCAGGGGATGGCATTTAGTGCTGAGAAAATACATCTTTGGGTATGGATCACAAGGTTCAAAAGACGACTGATATTTCCACATCAGGTAACACTGGAGGAATAGCAAGATACTGTGTTTGTGTCTAGTGTAGTTTTTGGTCTGTGCACTTGGAGAAGTTTAGTGTTGTTGGATGTGAGTGGTCTTTGGAGTCATCCTGTGGAGGGAGAAATGCTATACTCTCACAAATGACCAGAAAGAAAATCTGATGATTTCAGTTTCTGTGGAAAATATCATAAATTAAAGTCAGTAAGCTGATTTGCTACTATATACATTGTTTTATTCCCAACTGAAATTCTGTAATGTAATACAAAAAAGGAGGAAGGGGAAGGTGATATTTCTCCCATGCTACCCGCTATGTGAATGGAAACAGGCCAAGACAGTCATGTTTTGATCACCGTTATAACAGCCTTGCAATGGAAACATCTGCGAATCAACATTTATTGAAAAACTTTCACATACTAAATAAATACATTAGGAAGAATATTCTAGCACAGTACATGTGTTTGGAGAAACTCTAGAAATGTAGTCATGTCAGAGCATTTCTCATAGCTTTTCCCAGGTCTAAATTTCTTTGTCAGCATTGTTTAATGGAACTTCCAGATTTGCTAGGAGAAAGAATCCACTATTTTTAGAAACCATGGAAGTGGGATCCAAAGGGCATGAAGATACTTGCCCCAATTTGAGGATGTGTACTTTAGGTAGACCTCCCAAAACTCTTCCACAATGGTTTAGCTAAGTGCATGGACTGCACATTAGCAATTTTAAAACTGTTAAATGCTCATCTCACAGGGTGATGGTTTGAAGGAGGCATTGTCATGGAGGTTCCTGAGAAGCTTCACAAGAAGCCCCCACACTCCATTGCTTTCCTGTTCCGCAGGGATAGCCTGGGTGGTTCCCAGTGTGCCTCGCTCCTGGACTTCTGGTGCCAACACGCGCAAGCACGCCCACTGGGGGGCGGAGCTCTGTCCTGTAACGGGCTCCCAGAGTCTGTTGCAGCAGTTGGCTCTGGAAGGTGTACACGCGCTATCCAGGCTGTAGGGGTCCTAACGGCTCTCCATGCTGTGCACGGGGCTTGGCATGGTGGCCTCCCGAGTTTGATAGGTATACAAGGAGGTAAGGGATGTGGAATTCTCCACCCTTCAGGTGTCATAGCTCTTCACTGTTGTAAACACTGTGGGCTGTTAGTTTCTCAGACTGTGTTCATGTTTCCATACAGCTCATTTCCGGTGGTGTTAAACATCAGGGAATTGGTGCCATGTCAACAGGTTGTATTGGGAGTGGTGGTGAGTGATTGCTGGCCTGCAGCGGGGTCTAATCATGCATGTAAGCTCTTAAACTCTGAGGGTCATTCTGTGTCACCTGCATTATGAGCTTGGGGTCGGGGGTTGTTCTTCCAAATTTGAAAATTGTTCTCTCATTCAAGACTGCTCATTCAAGAAGTAACTCAAGTCAGTGAGGTGGCAGACTGCTGAATCTAGTAGTAAACAGTGAAGTCTGTTGTCAAATCATGGAATTGCAAGCAAAGATGGGGTTTGTGCATATTTAATTGGTTGGTGGGAATCTGACAGTATATTCAAATGTATGGATTGGTTTTGTCTGTGGATATTTGTGATAAAGGGGAAGTCATGCCTGTTTTTTTGTGAGTGTCCAGGATTGTGTGTTGTATTTGGAGGGTGTTGAGCTGTATTATATGGTGGTTAGGTGTTTGTAATTTGGTGTTTGGGGGGATATTCCCCCTCTTGAATTTGGGGATTTCACTAACAGCTGACTTGGAAGGATTATCTACATATGCAAAAAGTGCTTGTTCATTAGCTTGGGTGTATGATCTTTTCGTTTTGTATTTGGGGACTGTGGAAAGGTCGTTATGTATCAGGGCATGCTATATGGTTATGTGCATTTCTTTTTGTGATTTTTTTCAGGAGCTGTCTATGCCTGTTATAGTCTGAGACTATAGGATTAGTGGATGTTGCATATATGGGTGTGGTGTGGTGTTTGCATGGCTTGATGTGGTGTTTGTTCACTTCTGTATTCTGCAAAACAAAACGGTTAATTGTATATGAGAATATGGGAGTGTGGAGTTATGTATTGCAGGTAATGTGTTACCACATGTGTATTTGGGACATTGGGACATAGGGTGATATATTTGCATATTTGTAGTTTACTGAACAATGGGTGTATTGGGGCTTGTGGAGCTGAGTTTGGGTGTGTATTTCAAAGACCATGGCTATTTGGAGGAATATTTGTTGGAGCTATGTGTTTATATTTTTCAGTGGGGTGTTAATAGGCCTTTATATTTTGGAAAGTATGTGTGTATTTGATGGAGAGATGGCTTTCTGTGTTTATACAGGGCAGTGGAAGAAATGTATATGTTTCAGAGGTGTGTGATATAGTTGTATGTTAGTATTTGTGGATATGAAAACTGGTTCTTACTAGCTGAGGATAATTTGGTGTTTGGAAGTTGTTTGATATGTGGTTTGCTGGAAATATTTCTGTGGATCTTGTACATGTACACTGGTTTGTGTGTATGTCTATCACAGGTGCATAATTATCAAAGTTTGCTCATAGAGAATATGGGGTTGTTAGGAATATTTAACTGTATTTCTTTGGAAAATATTAAAGTTTGTTAAATACATATATATGTGTGTGTGTATATATATTATATTGTTTTATATATTGGGGGAGAGGTGACAAGGTTGTATTCTGGAAAGGTGGAATAAGGTATAGTTTTAGAGAAATCTCTATGCTTAGGGGTTGGGTATATTTGCATGTGTGTGTGCGTACATGCATAGGTGTGTGAGAATTGTGCGTGTATATTAGTGAGAGTTGGGGGATTATCATTGTTTTTGTGTTTTGAGTGTATCTATCTGAGCATGTGAGGTGTATATCCATGTGTATATTTGGGATTCTTCAATGTATCAGGAGGCTTAGGGGCCTCTTTGTGTCTGTTCCAGAATGTAATGCTTGCAGAATTTGGTGATGTTGCTTCTATGTGTCTTCTCAGTACTTGCAAGGTGGACTTATATGTATTTGATGAGTAGAGATTATTTATGGCTTTGTGTATTTGAATTTCTGGAGCTTGTGGTGTGTGTATTCCAGGGAATGTAAGAGTTCACTTTGTGTGTTTGGAAACAAAGAGACTGTATAGGTTGTGTGTGTGTTCAGGAATTGTGGAATATGTTTATGAATTTTGGGGGGGAGGATGACATAGAACAATTGTGTACTTAGTGGTTTTAGAGAGCCTGTGTATAGATATTCAGTATTTACATCTGGGTGGTATGTTAATTGTGCATGTTTATTAAGACCCAAGTTTTCTGTGTATACATATATAATTGTAGGATATATTCATGTGCTCATCCTGTAGCACATGAACATTCAGGATGATTAGGGTATTATCTGTACACATTTAGGTAGTAAGAGA